GATCTTGTAGGTCTTTTCCAACCTTGGTGTTTCTGTGATTTCTGTGATTTCTGTGATATATATACTATGCTAAAGTGTTATATACTCCCAAGGCATAGATCATCATCAGCAAAGACTAAACTGAAGACTAGTGCCTAACTCAGATAGAATTCTGCTGCTAAATGTCTGTAACTTCACCGTGTATTCTGCCCCAGAATCTACCATGCTCTGATTAAGAGCACTGGTCTGATCTGACCTGATCTTGTGCAGATAATGGACAGCTAAGACAACTTTGTCCATTCTTTACATTAATGGAGTAGCAGAAAGCACCTAGGGCTTTCAGCCCTAATTATGCACAGTATTCTGTGAAAAATGATAAGGCTGTCTTGGTCCAGACTAGAGAAACAAGCTTGAATTTTATGTATCATAGATGCTATGCTTTATGTATCTTACGGCACTTTAGCTGGGCATTGATACTTTGCAGTTTTGATTGGAAGTAAGTGCAAGTGATCCTGGCTCCGTTGGGGTGCTGAATGGAAAAGAATAAAAGTGTATGTGTTGCACATACATAAATCACGGTAAATTATGGGTTGAAAATTTTATTGATGAGTTTGGGGCATGTTTGTCAGAGGAACCAAGAGTAAGCAATAGAAGTCCTTACATTAGGGGAGATAATCTACTTCACACTCTTTTCCATCATGCATTCCGCAGGAAACGTCCGTTTTGCAAAAATTTTAACTAGTTTTCAAAATTTATGATATGGCTTTGAATGCCTTAGTTTAGGTATCTAGTATGATGTCAGAGACCTTGGGTCATCCACAGCTGCTTCTTCTGTCTGTCAGCCCTGTGTCTTCAGTACTATAAGTAATCAAAAATGACCATAGATACCTGAAGACTAATTCAACTTGGCTTGCTTTTTCCCTGCATCTCATTAATCTGGTTTGGTAACCTTGATCTTGGACAGATCAGCTCCCTCCAGAGTCCTGGCCTCTCCCTCAGTCATGTATCTTCAGCTGATGGGGGTGGTAAGTCTTCTGCCCAGGGAATTCAGGTTTCTACTATGAGAATAACAAAGCATGTGGGTGGAAAAGGGGTGTAGGTGGGCTCATACCCATCTGGATGAGAGGATTGCATATGGATATGTGGGCTTGAGGTCTGGGGTGAGTACCTGACTATGGGGACTGGACCTGGTCTAGACTATGTCTAGACATGATCTAACGAGAAGTACTAGGTTTTGGCTAATGAGAGACAGCTTGAAATCTACCTAGGTGTGGCAGGAAGGATGCTGAATCAATAGCTCTCATCCAGCTGTGTCCTCAGATGTGGGAGTTTTCACGGCTGTGCGGGTGACAAACAAAGGCAACAGTAACACTATTTGATAGAGCAAATCCTCACTGTTTTTCAGTATAGTCATCACACGCTTATGTTTTGCCAGTAATGAACAGCATGCTGTGCTCAGAAAAATATGCATGGCTGTCCAAAAAGTGGCTTGTTTTACACACTGCTGTCGAAAAAATGTAACTCTTCTCCAAACCATGTGAAAATTTATGGTACCAGGTAACAGAGAAAATTGTCATGTAAATTCTTAGCTTTCAGAAAATTGTAGGTTTTTCACTAAAGTACTATACTTAAATCTATGGTGACTCTTAAATGGACAGCACTGGTGAGTAAGTCTGGGTGGGCTGTGGGAAAATTACTGGAAGGTAGATCTGCTGGGAATTGCTCTTTTAAAAATACAAGCCTCTTTACTCAAACATCCAGGCAGAAAATCATTTGATCCTACTATGAAATTTCTCCTCAGTGACCTTCAGTCCTGAAGATTGGGTCTTTTCTAGACGAAGAAAGCATCTCCCACTTTTGTCTGCAGAAGGTAAGAGATGTGGCTACCAAATCCCTTCTCCCACATGGAAGGTAGGTTGGATTCAAAGTGGATGTAGGCATCAATTTCTGTGAAAATAGAGCAGGGAAGCAGGATATCCCTCGAGGGTTTTTGAGGTGTTGCTTCTTTGCACTGACATTCCAGTGTAATCTGGTGCTAATTTTAGGAGGTCTGACTCATTTCCCAGAAGATGCCACTGAACATCAAAGAAACTGAAAGTGTAAAAAGGACAGCAAATTTGTGTGCTGTGTATTACACTGAAGATTAATAAAGGCCTTTAAAGGAAAGTTTTCACAAAGCTATCTTTAATGAGGCTTATGCATGTTAGAAGTAGTACTTACACAATTCTTCCCAGTTCCCCCTCAATTAGTAAACTCATGTTTTACCTTCAGGTGTTTCCTCAGACTTACAGTGGCATATCAAACTCATTCTATTGCCTGGTAACTAATAGAGAGGTATTGATTTAAACTAATTTTAAGCTAATCTATCTTTCCTTTATCTGTTTCTTTTTCTTTTATTTAGCTGTCATTTGACACAGACTGTTTTCAGATTACTGCAGATTTTACTAGACAGGATTTAAGTGGTAGAAAAAACAGAGGAAATATTTCTTTTAATAATTTTTAATCACAAAACCTTTTTTTGTTGTTATAGTAACTAAAATTTTTTGGATGTATTCTCAGATAGATCTCTTGCTGTGCGACTGTGTCATAGCATTTTCAAATGATTTTCTCCCCAAAAGTTGAACACTGTCTGCAGGCGTTCTCATAGCAGCACTAACTTTACTTCCACACTGGGAAAACACAGCTTTTCCAGGGGAATATTTCATTATACTTTCCCTCCTTGCATATATCTCTGCCTGTTCCAGGAGGGCATTTTCAGAGGTGGGTGTGAAATCCCTCACCATCTTGTCCAGGCAGACAGTGGAGGTTTGGCTCCAGAGAAACCACAAGCTGTCTTGGCCACCAGCCCTTTGTGTAACCCACTGTAAGAACTTGTTTAGAACCACAGTTTATCGGAGAAACTTCTTTCTTTCTCTCTGGGCTTCAGACTGCCATGAATATAGGGGGAAATTCTGCTCTTCGCTTCAGTTCACGACCATCCATAGGCTTTGAAAAGACTTCTTTAAAATTAGAATCATTAGAAAATCAGAACACTTGGAAGCCATTGAAATGGTTTCATTCTGTGTTTCTTAATTTAATTTTGTTTTGTTTTGTTTTGTTTTTCTGATGAGAGAGGGCTTTTGGCAGGATGCAGAGTTTTTCTTTATGAAACCTCATCTGTTCCCACAGCATCTAATCCAAGAACTGTGGAAAGCAAATGGAAAAAGTGACTATGGTTTTTGTCAGTCTTTACTCTAAGCTGGGAGTACATAAACAGTGTTAGAAGCTCAGTCCAAGATGAAATCTAGCCCCAGGTGTGGGGGCATAGCCATGTAGCCCTATGTCTTGTGGTGGCCATTCCACCCGAAGGTTTGAATAACAGCACACACTCTGTGCTACATAACAACTGTGGGCAAGGAGTAAAGCATACCGCCTGTTTAGGGGTAAGGAGAGAGGGCAACACTTGCAAAGAAGTGCTCTGAGGATGAACTGTGCACGGCTGTGAGCTATATATGGAGCAGGACTGTTGGCAACACTGATAGCACTCCACAGGGCTGAGATAGAGAGCCCACAGCCACTGAGATGGCTGGGTTTCAAACATAAATTTTTACCCTCTCATATTTTTGCAAAAGCAGCTAATTGAAGTAAACTCAGATGTTTACACAGCCAACATTTCTAATTTCACTCGTTGCTTCCTGCAAAGGCTAACGCTGGAGAGAGCTTTGCAGACTGTAGAATAGTGAACATAACAATCTGTTGACTTTGTCAACATGTAACCACAAATTATAATATTTTTGCTATTCCTCTTATTCCTAATCAAAATGCACTTAACTGCACTATTGCTGATACAGCTTTTTGTTGTTCTGGTTAATGAATAACATATTCTGGCAATCTCTGCTCTGAATGATAATGCTCTGAAAGAGTTGTGAGATAACCAATCTAACAACCCAGCCCAAACACCAGAGCATGTTACTCAGTACACTGTGCATTTGCCTGATGAGACTGAGTGTGCTTCTCTCCCTTACGCTGCATTCTTTGGCAATAGACAAGTCAGCACAAGATGGTGCTAAGCAGAAAATCGTTAATTGTTTTCATAGAATCATAGAATGGCTTGGGTTGGAAGGGACCCCAAGTATCATCAAGTTCCACCCCCCCTGCCACAAACTCCAGATCTGGTACTAGACCAGGTTGCCTAGAGCCCCATCCAACCCGTCTTGAACATCTCCAGGGATGGAGTATCCACAACCTTTCTAGGCAACCTGTTCCAGCACCTCACCACTCTCTCTGTTTTCCTGTATGCAGTCCTGAAAAGCGCTTTCAGAAAAGGCAGTTAGCATACAATCTCCATCACAATTAAATTAAACAAACAAACAAAAAAAAGCAATTCATTTATTTGTTTCTGTCTGTCATGGTTTGGAAAATTTCCCCATTGAAGCCTGTCTACTATGAGATAAGTTTGGTCAGCTCTTAGCCTCTTTTCTTTGGGTTAGAGCAGAAGTGCTAGTTGGATATTTTATTTTCTTGTCATCAAATCAAAATGTTCCAGGAAAAATGTTCCTGAGATGTCCAGAGGAAGGAATAGACCACACCTCCACAAAACATGGGTTTTTTTGTTTTTTTTTTTCCCCCAAGGTTAGGTGTAATTGGTCTCCCTGAAAAAAAAAAACAAACAGACAACCAACCAACCAGATCACGCCTTTGCTAATCTACATAACACAGATCAGCAGAAGTTAACTAGCCAGGGAACTGAACTTGCTGACTCCATGTCTTTCTAGGAATCTCTTCCCACAGAAGGCTTTGATTGTGTATTTGCACCTCACAGACCTTCTTTAACATCTGCTCTTTAAAAACATGATTTCATGGAAATACAAGGTCTCTAAGAAAGCTTGGAGCAGTATTTCCTTCTGCAAAACAATGGAAGGTTGAAATGGGTCCTATTTCTTTTTCTCATCATGTAAATCTCAGGCTCAGCAGGAGCTTTCTAGGAGACTCAGAGGAAGCAATTATTCTACACTGGTGCTTGAGCTGTCCTTCCGCGTTTGCCAAATGCACGTTTTCATGGGCCTTTCTGCTTACCACAGTACTGATATGTAGCATTGGGTGCCAGGTCTTTTGCAGGGTGACCTGATGTGTCTGATTTTCTGTCTCATATCGAACATGAATAGCCACATTTCCATCATAATTCAATTGGGCTGGGGTTGGACTCAGGAGTGAGAAGCATTTGTTGCTATTATTTTATATATATATAATTTAATTTATACATTAATATATGAGAGCTGCTCTGAAAATAATGCCTCTCATTTTATTAAGTTGGCCCACAGTGTCAGAGGCAGATGGTGGTGGTATGGCTATAGAGATTGAACCTTCCCACCAAAATCCCATTACATTTTGTTGCTGTGTCAGATGGCAGCAGAGGGGCAGTCTGACAAGTGGAAGTGTGTACAAAGCTAAAGGGTGGAACTGAACTCCTCCATGCAGAAAAAATGGCAGCCATTGACATTCATTGACACTTATTGAATGTTTATGGAGACAAAAGAGTGGATGTGAGCTCTGTGGATTGTGGGTGGTGCATTTCAGCAATAGCAACAGAGACAGTAGGTCACCTTCACTGGTGCCGGTTTTTACGAGCGTGGCATGCAGGCTCTTGCTCATTGCCGGTGAAAATGCATAGCTAATGGGTGTGACTGTGTTGAAAAAATAGCGCTTTGCAGCTGAGAATTTGCTCTGTTAAGTAGTTTTGTTGTGCTCTTTTTATTTGTTATGGATTCCATGGAAAAAAAATAGAAGGCATTACTTTTGGAGCAACCTACATATATGTATACACTAATCTTTTCAGTATTGCAGATTTTGAAACATAAGCTGAGAGTCCTTCTAGTTCCTATTATCTAATTTTCCATCAGTGACATGAAATCTCCGAAAGACCTCTGTAATTGCAGTAACACACTTTCTGTTGGCATTGAAGAGCAGTTCAAGAATTGTTCTTTCTGCACTCCAATGACACTCACTTTCACTACAAAAAATTTATTTGATGATGAATTGATACATTTTCTCTTTGACTCTTTACCAGGCTTACTTGATGATGTTGATGTAAGTTAACCTGCTGACTCATGTTCTGGAGCTAATTATTAGTACTTTTTCATCCGGAGACGAGTCTGGACAACCCATCAGGACCTAAATTTATGGAGAAGTTCTTAGTTTAGATGATAGTAGGATTAGCTGTTGGAACAAAATTTGGCAGGCACCAAGAGATTAGGCATGTTTGTATAGGGGGAACATTAAGTTAGTTTTGGATAAGTACCTGAACTTCAGAATACAGTTCAACATGTCTGTCTGGAGTGAGCAAGACCCTTCTCTGGATGGGTTATCCCACAAATTTTTACTGGATAGGTGGATCAGCAGTCTGATTTTATAGGATAATCCCTTTTTTTTTTTTTACATCAAACCAAAGCAGTTAAATTATCTTTACTTTGCAATTGATTAATGCACTTCTTAATGCATACTCCATTATTTTACTAAGGATATGTTTGATACCCTGGAAGTTTTGCTGATGAGTGTCAAGGCAGACAGATCCTTACACATAAGAATTTGGGCATCTATTCAGATGCAAGAAAAAACACTTACTTTGGCCTTACTGCACTCCTGCTGGGGAAAAACAGAGTCTAGACAAGCATTTGACAAATCTGGATCTGCAGGATGCTGGGCAGGGACAAGGAGGGGAGGGCTCTGACACTCACACCTGATTACTGTGAAGAACACACCTGGAAGCACAATGCAGTTTTTCCACTGGAGAACTCTCATACTTCCTGTCCATGTTTGCAGTGCCTTCATTTGGGGAACATATTTTCAAAAGCTTCTTCATAATGCAGCATTACAGAACTACTAAGTTGGTACTGAAAGCAATTAAAAACTGGAAAAAGAATAGCACAAGCCTCAGACTATTAATGGCTTTTATAGATGAGGATCCTTCAGTTGTCAGGGGAGGCTCAACAGAGAAAGCAGCAGGCAGTGCAGCATAAAAAGGTGCGAGGCGTTGGCATAACTACACTTCACCAATTGACTTGAGTGCTGAAAGTGGAGAAAGTGGAGAAAGTGGAGACACTTTCCTCATTTTTAACAACACTGCCTTCAATGGATGTTAGAAATCATTTGGCCATTGTGCTCATTTTCCTTTGGCCTTCTGGTGTTATCCCTCCTGCAGGCTGGAACATTGCTCTGAAGCACAGTGTGTTTCTGGGAAAGTCATGCTGGCATTTTCAGCTTGAGCTCCTCAGGAGGATAGAGCCTAAGCATGTACAGAGAGGCCTAATGCTTCCCTTGCTGGAAAACTCTGTATTCTGTGATCACAGGAGCTTAAGTTACTAATGACTGCATCTTTCAGGCTTCCAGGCTTTTATTCCTTTAGGAAATAGAAACTTAGAGCATTGATTTTTTGTTTATTGAAAATATTTTTCCACCTATTGTTTGATCAGTTTGGTTTTTCACAAAAAGAAAGATAAATATATGTGTGTATATACATATATATCGGAATCCAGAGATCCTAATTTTATAGAAATTGTTTTCTATCCAACAGCATGATGTGGAACAACTGAAAAAAAAGCAGCTCTCTAAGGCAACATTGACCTTTAAGTGTTGATACAGTAAGCACCATATGACTAAATTTTAAACATAAACTCTGCCCACAGTGTTTGATTCAAATCCCAATTCAGAGACTTAGGTAAGGAGATGGGTTATTAGCACAGACGCTTAGTTTTCCGTAACTGCTAGTTTGCAAATGGGCTTTGGTTTGGGCCCATTTCCTTAGCACAGATGTGGCCCTGTGTGTATGATTCTGGCAGACTGCTGCTCTGCAGTGTGCTTTGGTTTCCATCAGATTTTGGGAAGCTCTTCTGAGCACCTGTGAAGTTCAGTCCTGTCTACACTGAGCAGGGCTGCAGACACGGTTCTACTGGGTCCTTCCCTCCAAGTCCTTGCTTGGGTTAGACACAGGCTGAGCTCTTGCAGACTAACTTTATAACATCTGGTGTAGCTCTGCATTGTGGACACCTCACTGGAGCCTCAGCTGATGGACTGAGAAGCCCTGGGAGGCACAATGTCTTCAGGAACCATGGGGAATGGCATGGTACAGGGTAAGTCACAGTATGTTATTTTTCCAGGAGGCCTCTGGAAAATACTTGCGAGCACCAAAGATAATAGCAGGAACACTTTATTTATCTGTGAGATAAGAAGGGCTGCTTGTTAGTTCAGTATCCAGTTCTCGGCAGACCCAGCATCCAAAAAAGATATATGCATGGTCAGGCTGATAGTTATGGGAAAAGCCTGAATTTCAGAAAGTTCCTCCTCCCGGATTTTTCATTAGCTTGCAAGCTAAGGTAAGAATAATTTATGTCTTTAAATTTTAGCTTTTCAAGAAGAGCCTTGTTGTCTGTATGAATGCCTAATTCTGCTTTTATTGCTGACCAGTGTTTGAGTGTGTCTCATAGAAATGACCCACACAGATTATGAAATGTTATATAAAAGGCCTCTGTGTAAAGTAAATTGCTTTTCAGTTTCCTTTCATATGCCTTCCAGCACCTTGATTATCATTCTACAGCCACGCAGTCTGGGAGAACCAACTGCAAACTCTCCAAAAATGTGCATTATGGATTTCTGAAACAGCTACAAGGAGAAGAAAGAAAAATACAGTGCCAAATGGTCCTTTTAACTAATTCATAATCTGTTGACTTAGAGAGATCTTTCATTTGGTTTTCATTCTGTTCGCTTTTATATTTTGTCATCTTGATGATTTTGGCTAAGAGAAGGTATATTCATTTTTAATATAAACAAAGCTGTTAAAGGTTTTGAACCTCTGAGAGATTTTGGAAATTATGGAAAGCTGGCATTCCAGTACAGTACCTATTGGCCATGGCTCACGTGCTTAGATTGGCTTAGGTTAGCCACGCTCACATGCTTGGCTCCTGTCTCTGTCTCGTTGGGCTCCCACTGTGTGTGTGACTGTGTGTTAACATGACCAGGAGAGCTCACATGAGCTGTCACAAAAGTACCCACTCAGTTTAAAATGAGGCACTGGAACAGGCTGCTCAGAGAAGCTGTGGATGTCCCTGGAAGTGTTCAAGACCCGGTTGGATGGGATCCTGGACAGCCTGAGCTGCTGGGTGGTAGCAGTGTCCACAGCAGGGGGACTGGCACTTGGCAATATGTAGGGTCCCTTCCAACCTAAGCCATTGTGTGATTAGGTGATTCCATGATCTTCACAGGAGCTCTCTACAGTCAGCAAAGCATCCAGTTCATATGCAGGAGCCAACTCAAGGTTCTTGCACTCAACAAAGCATTTCTTCCTTGACTCTTACAGATTCTGGAAGTGCCTTCTATAGAATGAATGGCTTTTCATAATGGGAGAAAATCCATGGAAAAGTTTTACAAGACCTTACTAAAATTGCAGATTAAGACTCATCAGTAGTGTTAACAGAAAGTGAATATCTTCTTGAATTAAGGACACAAATCTGACAGAATAGATTGAATTAATACAGCATACAATACAGATGCATTGTCTAGTAGTTTAAATGCCATGAAAAACTTGGAAAGTTTCTCTTAAATTTTATGTTCTATTTTGAACTTGTGTGATTCATTTATGTTATGTTTAATATTCTTCAGGGAAACCACTCTGATTTAGATCAGCTGAAGGTGTGATCCACCATGTATTATAAAGAGAAAAGCAGGAATACATTTAAAGGAATCTAGCAGAAGTTTTCAAGTTCTCTTGGAGGTTTGAGTACTACCCATCTGTAGTCCATATACACCTAATGTGTGATGTTACCACACAAACTCAAAAACTCTTTGAACGTTTATCATAATTGTAACTGTTTTTAATGGACCAGAATATCCATGCTGCCTAAGCAGTGCAGAACCTTAGACTGTGATTAGCTGTTTACTGCTTGTGCCTTTCTTCTGCTGAACCTAAAGGTGATCTGCATTTTTTTTCTTCTTACAGTTTCTCCTAAGCATTTGAACTGCATTCTGTCTGTACAGCTTTAGCTGCCTGAAGGATTGCCCGTTCAGTTGCCTGATGCTGGAACACTGTGAAAAAGGAATAAAGAAAAGCACATCAGTGCTGTCAAAATTCAGAACTCTCCTGCAGCAGCAGAGTAAGTGTGAAATTATTTCACTGAGTTTAAGCTAAAGCCTTGGCAGGGCTATAGAATGGGATTAGAATGGCAGATTGGAAATATGTTGCATTTCTACCTCATACTTCACTAATGGAAAGTATGAAGTGACCCTGTCAACAATTCTGAAAAGAAAATAGCAAATATTTATTTTTTATGAAAAATTCTTTGAACTAATGCTTTTCAAATGTGGATTTCAAGTCATTCTACTGCTTATATTATGTCTTTATGAAATGCATTGCTTATTATTTCTTCTGTCAGTATTATACTAAATAGGATTCACAATACTTGCTCCAGTTCTATGAAAATACAGACAAGTCACTATGTGTAGTGGACTATTTTTCTTCCATCCTCCAGCAGAATTCTTTGTCCATGCCTCAGGAGTGCTACCTATTCCTGTATTACTCCTCTGTATTTCCAAAATCAGCATCTATTCCATAGCTTTATTTGTAAATCTATTTTATTTTTTCTTGCTGTTTAAAAATATCTGATACTGCTGGTAGCAGTAAAAGAATAAAATAATTTTGTTCCACCCTGTGAAATGAAAGACAATTTATGATTTCATTTTCTGGCTGCCTTCTGTAGATGTCACTGGATAACTTCTGTAAAGCTGAGGGTGGTGGATACTGGTGTATAGCCATGGAGCCTTAGTTAATATAGCAAAGAAGAAATGGACGAGATGTAATTCCTGGAGATCTTGGACAAAAAGAAAAGAGTAAAGAGAAAAGCCACAATAGCCACTTTAACAACCTGATAAGCCATATATGTAATTAATACAATGGATTGGCCTAACTAACAATTGGAAGTGGAACTTAATGTCTGGTGACACACACAATTGTGATAATGGCTGTGTAAGTGGAGAAATGTAGGGAGAGCTAGAGTAACTGATTATGAGAGTCTTCCTGGAACAGCTTGAAAGGCCACCCATCAAAATGCCAGGGAAAGAGCTCCTGTATTTTCCCTGGTCTCACAATTTTTCTTGGCAATTCAAAACTAGTAATAGATGGATCTCATAATTGTTGCTTCCACTGATATTTTTGGGAATGTCCTTCACTTCTGTTATACTTCAGCTCTTGTCAGAACTACTACCAGCTCTGCCTACCACAGGTAGACATACGTTCTGACACCTTATTTAGGGAAATGTGAAATTATTAAAAAAAGACCACAAATATCTCTGACTTACAATTGAAGTCTGCTATTTAGAGCTTCTCCCCACTGAAATAAAATCTGGGAACTAGATTCAACTTTTCTCTACCTTCTTTCCACTTACGGCAGCAAGAGCATACATAATTCCTCGAGATTTTAAGCAGAGGAGTACATAGTTCACACTCACACTCATCCGTTGGAAGACCTTGCAGCTCTTACATTACATTGGGGGAATGTGTCCAAGTTTTTTATCAGTACAAAGGAGAGTTGGAGGGAGATCAGGAAGAGAAGCATCTGTTTGTCTCCTTCCTTGGGGTTAGGCATGACTAGAGAGCTGTGGAGCCTACTGACACTTCCAAATGTTTCATTTAGATGTATTACAGTTTAAGCACCATGCTTCATTCTTTTTTGAATATGAAGCCTGGCTTCAGAATAGGCTGGGACAAGGGATACAGCTGAAGGAAGAAAGGGATTACTGAGAGGAAAGAGTTAACTTTATTCTGAGGATTTGGACACTTGTTATCTCAACTAATGTGTAATCTGACGGCTACTTTCAATATTGCCCTAATAATATTTAGAATTAAAATCCATTATTTTTCTGGATCATGGATCTTTTCATTGGTCTTTTACAAAAGACAGTTTAAATACAACTCAAGTTTAACAGTGTTTCTATTTTTCCTATTTTCTTAGATCCCAGAAGGTTGGTGGTACAAATATGGACAAATAAAAAGTAAAAATAGAGAGAGAAAAGTGAAATAGAAACCCCAAACAGCCTGGGACAAGTTCACATAGCAGTCAGTAGTGAAGCTTGGGTTACACAAGCATTCAGCTCTTTTGAACCTCAGTGCACTATTCTAATGGTTAGCCCATAGTTGTTCTCAAATTCAGACACTTAGATACCAAAGTTTGAAATACAGAATAAAAGAATGGTGTATAGACTGCTTATGTATGGGATTGTAGTTTTAGTTTTTTCTTTGTATTATTTTCTCTGAATCAGACTCTTTTTTTTTTTCCTTTTTTTTTTTTTTTTCCCCAAGCTGTTTGTAAGCAGTAAATTATGAAAAACAAGTAAGGATTTTGAAGAGTTTTTGGGCACCAACTGGATTTATTGTGCTGGACCCTGTGCAATTTCTGTAACCATATGGGCTGGTTGCATAAGTTAGTTGTCCTTTGGAGAGTACAGATTTTTCAGGAACAGTCTCATGCGCTGATAAATAATATTAGCCTCATAAATAGATACTGATGCCATATCCTGTGAATGATGTGTGATATAATGCACTTAAGTTACTGATTTTTAAAGCCCCATTTGTACAGGAAGGCAGAATAAAAGGAAATTTCATTTAGTCACAGTATCTATTTTCTCCTTTCAGACTTCAGGTTTCATGTCAGTCTGGCACAACAGCACGTTGGGCTCAAAATGTAGACTATTTAGAGGCCCAACCACACAACCTTGTGCACAACCTTGTGTCTTCCACTTGAACCTTTTATTATCCTTAAAATATAGATAACAAGCCAATTAAATAAACTAAAATGCTACTGCAGGTTTTCCAATGGCTTCATTGGAATACATTTACATGTATATACGGTAGATCAGAAATCTGGGAGAAGTGTCAGATGAAGACTGGCTTTCGTATGAGTGTAAAGGACATCCACCAGATAGGTCTGTTGTTCCTACTGCTGTCAGCAACTAGTTTTGAACATTATGTTATTAAGGGAACAATCAGTTGATTCACCATGCTTAGTGGTTTATATACCCTCCAATTCTGTAATCACGGAACACTGAAGAGAGATATCTTAACCATGAACGAGTCAGCAAAGTGTGCAGCTCTGAGTAGCAGTGGCATCTAGAGCCAGTGCATGGCCTGTCTTGGCTCTCAGCTTCTCCTTTTAACATTTTATACATTCACAGTTATTCACTTCACAAACTCTAGGGTCCTTTGAAGCTGATTTGGTCAAGGACTGAAACTGAAGGCATAATGACATGCTTCATGTTTCCTGATCAGAATTTCAGAAAAGTTTTATTTTAAACTTGAGCTGTTTCTCATACAGCATGAGACTTTGCTCTGCTCCACTGCATTCAAATAATATGAAGCTGTGTTCATAATTTTATTTTATTTTATTTTTAATGAGAAGTAACCTAACTTTTCTTAAAAACAGTCTTGCTGCTCGTCTCACACAATGTACTGGTTTTCATTTACAATCAGCTGATGTGTTTTTAATGGCCATTTACTAGACATTTCTACTTTGCATTTTTGCATGGTGAGAACGTGCAGGCTTTGGTTTGCATGTTTCACAGACTAGTCATATTGCTTTTGTGTCTTATGCACCACTTCAGATCCTGAGATCCTACTGCTCTAAAGCAATAGTTTCCTATCCATAGAATGTGGGCAGCAAGCCCAGCATTACTCACTGTGTCTTTTTTTTTCACTGTAGATTCTGCTTTCATGTAGCCTTAAAAAAATAAGAGGCACATGTCCTCTGAAAGTAGCACAGAGACTCAGTCATGTTCCCGTCTGCTCTTCACATAATTTACTTATACTTTACTATCTTCTCTAGAAGATCGGTCATATTTTCCAGGGAAACTTTAATTAACCAGATACAGTCTAAGGAGTGAGTATATATCAAAGCATATTCTGACTGCACAAGATCACTGTTTTTGAATCTTTGTGATTTATCACTCATGGAAAATTTTCCTATCAATAACAGTATAAAAATGAAAATATCCAAACATTTACTACGTCAGTGGAAAATATCTTTTGGTATTTTTCAATATTTTACAGTCTATTCCAAAAAGTGGCTTACATATATTTCTTTTCTACTGTGAATATGTAAGAGTATAAACCCTATGGGCTATTTTGCTTGGCCATGATTTCTGGAGAAACCACCTTATTTGACTCTTTTTTAGTGTCTGACTTTCCACTTGTCATTATGTGAGGCTACTGGGTTATCCCACTCCAGTCTGTGTTCTATTGGGAGCTTCTATACCTTGTAGAAATATCAAGTTTTTGCTCAAATATCTTGGTTCCATCCCTAGTATTCCCTCTAGACAACAACAAAAGCAAAACACTTTTTAGCAGTTCAGGGATATTATTACACATCATATTTACTGCAATTTGTTATTTGCTCCCTCCTATAGTTCCTATATTCCTCTATCTAGGCAAAATTGATACTGTAAGTCTAGGATTTTACTTCTATCTACATTCTCCTCCTCTATCTACACTCGATTTCATTTTTGTGCCTCACTGACTGACACGTATATGTCTAGGTTAAAGTTCTAATTATATTGATTCTTCCTGCTCAGCTGGCACTAGGAAGGCTTTTCCATCCACTTCTTGGGCTTCTGCTGTCATCTTCTTTGTCCACACTATTCTCATCCCAATGGTATATGCAAATTCTTGAAAGCTGTGTAGTCTGTTTTCATTCTGCCTGTTTTTGCAGACTCTGATCTCTAAATTGAAGAGATTTTGCTTTGAAAAATGAACTATTTGGTAACTAAAGATTTATTTGGATAGGCACAGCCAAAGGTTTGTGTTCAATGGCTCTATGTGCAGATGGAAAGTGATGTACTTCAGAGGTCCGTCTTGGTACTGGTGCTTTCCAACACCTTTATCAATGATTGAGTGCACCCTCAGCAAATTTACTGATGACGCTAAGCTGAGTGGAGCAGCTGACACGGTAGAAGGGAGGGACACCATCTGGAGAGACATAGGCATAAGAGAATCTAATGGGGTTTAACAAGGCCAAGTGCAAGATGATACACCTGGGTTGGGACAATCTCATATATGTGTACAGGCTGGGAGAAGAACTCATTGAGAGCAGTCTTGTGGAGAAGGAAA